GGCTTCCTGGCCAATCAGGAAACTGGGAGACGGGTCATTAGTCGCTGACCCGCTTCCTGATTGCACGGGAAGCTGGCTCCATGTTCCCCTCCGGCACTGCCGGTCAGAGGAAGTCTTCCTCTGACCAGAAGTTCAGGTATTGGAGAAGATATCGAGCATTTGGGCGAGTACAAGTACTTGCCCAAATACTCTGTATCTGTGCATCCCTAATCAAAACTGTATTGGTCTGTGCTAAATAGCGCTTCTCAGTGGTCAGCGTGGTCCCCAGACCACGCTGACCAATGAGTGCTTGCAATTTGCGAGCGAAATTCAAAATGCATAGGGCAGGACTGCGCTGGACAGTACGGGGTAAGGACAGTACACCTGTACCGGCGGAGGGTAAGGACTGTTTGCCGAAAGGTAAGTATAGCCGGGGGTGGGGGGTTTTGGGAGAGACGGGGGCCAGATTTGATCGGGTAAATCCATTTTCCCATATTACCTGGGAAAGTGAACTTGCCCTTTAATGCACATTGTGCGTGTGGGAGAGTTCTGCTGCCTCGCTACCACAATACGGCACAGTGAAATGGCGGCAGCACTCAACGCACACACACAATGTCCTATGCGTGCGTTTATTTGCATGCAGATGGCGGGGGCAGCGGGGTTTTTTTGTTTTTTTTTACATTGTCACTTTTTTAAAAATATTATTATTTGGTACTTTTTCATAACTTTTTTAAAATTTGTATTATTCTCCCCCCCGCCCCCCACCACCTAATTTTATTCCCATCACATAGGGATTTAAAATCCTCTAAGTGATAGTTTGGAGGTGACAGGTTCTTTTTATGGAACCTGCCCTCCAACACAGAACTGATGTTCTGTGTAGTTCCTGACAGCTGAGACAGGTGATCACAGCGCACCCTGTCTCAGTGATAACACAGAGCAGACGAAAAACCTCAGTTTTTCGTCTGCTCTATGGTGAGCTCATGTTCCGTGGTTTTGGGTCCGCTAGAGGAGCGGGGACCCCGAAAACCATTCATTTCAATGGCACACCAAAGGTGTGGTTTTCCACATTGGAACGTGCGTTACTGCAATGCTGTGCATTCCAGTTCAGTGCGATTGCAAAGAATTGTGCATGCAGTTTTATTCTGAAGCAAGGTTGTCCATTTGAGCCACCTTGGATTTGTTCTACCTCTGGTCATCTTTGGCGAAGTTCTCTCCCTGTATGGCAGGGAAGGCAACTATCCCTCAACCCCTTGAGAGTTCTATGTGGACCCCCCCAACCCTTCCCGTCATCTGCACTCTGAATGTGGCCCCAGTTCCAGGTGCCTGAGGCCTTGTTTCAGTGGAATATGTATACAATGTCACTTAAAAGGTAAAGTCTAAAGTGCTATTAAAGGAGAACTATAAGGTGAGTGCTTTTCACTCACCTCATAGTTCTAGCCGATCTGTGACAATGAGACTGTCACAGGTCGGCTCAGTAGATCGGAAGGTGAGCGAACACATACCGGCATTTCGCTCACCTCTCGATCCTTTCGCAGCTCTCTGCGGTGACAGGGGAGGGGCTGGATTCCCCCCTCCGCGCTCCGATCCGCCAGCGCTGACTGGCGGATCGGATGGGGAGGGGGCGGCTACAGCTGGCTCTGCCTCTAGATAGGCAGAGCCAGCTGTCACTCACGCAGCTCCAGACATAATTGTCGGTATCCGCTTCAGCTGCGGAGTCTCGCGGTATACTGTGGCGTCTTAGTATATCGCGAGCTGTAGCTCGCGGTATACTGAGCTTAGGGTGACGGGAGGACGCTAGTTTGTGTCCTCCCGTTACCCTAAGGAGAACTATGGAAAAAAGCCTTAACCCCATAGTTCTCCTTTAAGCCAAAGTCATACTTATTAAGTGCTATAATACCATATTAAGGGCTCAAGTATACTTTGAATGACCAGGCTCCCTCCAGCATATGGCTCTTTTAAAGCACCCTAGTTGGTGGTTGGTCTATTTTGACATACTAGTTTGAGGCTGGTGGCAATATGGTTGGAGTATTGTGAGCGCAATTTTTAATTACTATTTGTGGTTTTAACTTTCTGTGCATACTGAATAGTCATACTCCACTCTTCAGATTTTTAGTGCAGTGTTTCATACAGCGTCCTTTTACTTTTTGTCCTAGTGGCAGGCAGTCACCAAGACAGGAAACAATAGGAGATCTAAGCAATAGAAATCCAATTTGAAGTCCAGTAGCCAGAAAGAACCTATTTCATTTTGGTTTGCTTAAAGCCCATCCTCGGCCAAACAAAAGTGTACCCCTGCAGGGGGTTACCCCCACACTGCAAGGGTCAAGGGCTCATTTTAATCAAGGGGATAAAATAAAGCAGATTTACTTAGCTGATCTCTGCTCCCGTGGCAGTTAGCGCTGTCCTTTTCTTCCCCTCGGTTGGGGCTGTTGGAATGTCTCTTGGCATCCTCGCATCTAAGGGCCGGTGTACACCTAGACGACACCCCACCGCGCAGCAATCATGCACGACTTCTCGCGGATTGCCGACATGTGCTAGGGCCGGTGCACACCTAGGCGTGCACGATTCGGCACGGATTGCCGCGCGGTCAGGAGTTGCCCAAGTGTGCACCGATCGCGATGTGGGTACCATTATTTTCCAACGGCCCCCCTGTCGCACCGGGCTAAAACAGCCACGCGTTGTGTAGCGCAGAAAAAAGGTACTTGTATCTTTTTTTTCTGCAATACACGACGCGCAGCTGTTCAGCCGCGATAGTGTTTGGACGCACGGGCGGAATTGGGAAACCGTGTCATCCGCCCGGCGCGACGGGTGCCATTGGAAAATAATGACACCCAGAGAGCGATTGATGCACACTTGGGCGACTCCTGACCGCGCGGCAATCCGTGCCGAATCGTGCACGCCTAGGTGTGCACCGGCCCTAGCACATGTCTATGGAAACCTGCATTAGATGTTATATAAGTGGTCCTTAGACCAATGGAGCCCAGGGAAGATGAGTAGTGGCCCTGAGGGAGCTGGTGGGAGTGAGGATCAGGTAAGTAAATCTACTTTACTCCAGTCCCCTAGATAAAACAAAATGAGCAATTAACCCTTGCAGTGCAGTGGTAGCCCGACTGAGAGGGTACTTTTTTGTTTTCCCAGGGATGGACTTTAAATAATTTCTGTGGCAAAAAGAAAAAAACTTCTGTCAAGTGTAAATTGCCGGCACATACCTGTAGTAGTATCCAAGTCTTGGACTTTTCAGAAGGACAAAGCTCTGGCACCGAATGGTAGTTTCGGAACTTGCTTGACCTGTCCTGCCTCCGGCACTGCCCTATTGTGGCAGCCCAACATAGTAATGGACCAATAGGATAGTTTTGTGGTATTTTTTTTTGGGACATGGGGACTTTACATGCATTCAGTGAAAGCCTACAACTTAGGGAATACGTTTTGGTCTGCAAGTATGAGTGCAAGACATCCTCCCTAGCTCCCAACCTGCAATAACCATTGTACAAAAACAACTGGTGTACTCATCATTGCTGATTGGCACTTTACAAAGCTGTTGTCTACGTCAAACGAACACAGAATGCATTGACTGTTGTCTACATATACAAAAATGTGCTTTTCTGACCAAGCCTATGAGAATGGTAAATGTGTAGCCTGCCTCAAGTCATTTTTAAGCCTGCACTAGATAAACATTAGCTTATGAGAAAGTAGTCAGGAAGTAAGCAGTGCTGCTTTGTTTTTGGCTCCATGCCCTCAACATGTAAATTATTGTGGAAAAACAAGTAGCCATTTTTTACATTCCAAGGGTTAAGTGCTCGTTTTGCCTAGGGTAAAAAAAGAGTTATACTCGCCTTATCCTCTGAGCCGGCCGGCTTTTAGACCAGTCCCTGGAGCCTCTTTCCCCCTTCGCTGCAGCGGTCTAAGGATCCTCAAGTTATCACGCCCAATACAGTGTATTGGAAGTGAGGATACCGAGGGACATATCATCGTTGCTGCGGAGGAGGAGACAAGCTGGAGGAAGGGCGGTCACAGCAAGCCGGTTTGGAGGTTCAGGTGAGTATATTTTGACCCTAGGCTAAAACGAGCACTTAACCCTTGCAGAGCGGGAAGGGGGTATATTCCGCGAAATGCGTCAGCTAGCAAGGCAGCTTTGTGTGGGGTCTGCCATGTATCATTCATTCAGTGATTACCATGTGAGTAATATTTTATGTCAGCTTGTATGTTCATTGATCAATAAACTGTATTACACGAGGACAATGCGCTGTCTGTTTGTTTGTTTTGCATGCGATATTAGAAATGTTATAAAGGATTTTAGGTTTGGGTTGCAGAATTTCTAGCATTTTATACATGGCATAATATGACCTGTACTCGTACCAGCACCCGCATTGCCTTTCCCGGGTAAAGGGACTTGTGATTTTGGTTAGTCTGCAATGCCTCTTGCAGTATGTAGAAAGTTAGTATTGCAGCTCTTCCAGTCATGTATACTGTAGGTGTATTATACTGTACAAGACATTGATAAATTATAAGACATGGATGCTGCATTGGAAACAAATCAGAGTATACGTAGTATGTAGTTTGTAACATTATAACCGTAAAACGTATCTTTTTCGACACTGTGTTATTAATTCTCTGGTGTCAAACTTGCATCCCAAGTCCTTGGAGCCCAGCAATCTGTAGTGGTAGTGGGAGCATTGACTTATAAAGGGGTATTAACATTGATCTCTACTACCTGCATGTAACATGTCCCAATTGTACAGCATGTCTCCAGACTTGTAGCATGTTCTTTGGTATCTGACCATCATTTCCTCGAGTATATCTCCAGTCCAGTCCTATCTAGTATTTCATATATTGAACATTTATGTGCGCCCCCTGGTGATTCCACGTTTGACGCCCCCTACTTTCTAAGTTGAAAACCACTGCTATAACCACCACTGGCTGTATAATCGGTTTTAGGTGTTTTTGTTTTTATAAAGTCATTATAGTTGTAATATAACTATTTTTATAATTTATTTTTCCCCAAATGCTTGCTTTCTTTCAACCAGCCTTTCAAATGGCTCAGTGTGAGACAGATGCTGAAAGCAGCCATTCTATGGATGAAGAAGACACCAACACTACATCCCTACAGGTAAGTGATACTGGTTCTTATGGGGTTGTTCCTGTGTCCCTTTTGTGCATTTACACAGGAAACCTTTCTGTGTTGCTTCCGATTCATGAATTCTCTAAAGGTAATAATAAAAATGTAATTAGGATCCCACCCCTGCGTTATACACATGAGCAGCTATAGAAGATGGTGTAATAAAAAGAATGTACAAAAGTAGAACCTGATTTACTTCTCTGATAGACTTCACACAGTTCAGCAGGCAACAATGTTGGGTTTACAGGTCTTATTGTAATGCTTTAAAGACAAAGTCCAGCTTTGTTTAAAAAAATAAATGCACACACATTAATAAAATAAAAAATGTAATTTTTTCTGTTAAGGGTCTGGAGGAAGAATGAATGGACTACAAGTACAATGATGTCACCACACTTATACTCCATTGAGAACTACCGCTGTGGCAGATAGGACTTGTAGTCTGTCCATTCTCCGATCCTGTGAATGCATCTGCCGCGAGAAGAACTCTGTAATTCAGTAAGTAGGTGTGGAGGGAGGAGTTGGTGATGTAACCATGTTGCACCGTAAATATGGTTAGAAAAGTAAACTCAGCATTTAAATATTCAAGGGTCATGTGACTTCCAGTAATTTTAAATAGTAGCCTCAACACAGCTCAAACGCTGACTGTAAATTTACAACTTAGATCAGAGCCTTGGACTATTGGACCTTGTTCATATATATCATTTAATCTTTACTTTTATGTTAATATGCATTTTTATTTGTGTAAAAGGACTTCATTAAAATGTAGTCCTTTTACATTCGTATTGCGCTTTTGTGCTCTCTAATTGTAAAGTGCATTTGTGTGTTGAAGATTTCTTTTAACTTCCAGTCCCACCAATGCAACAGGAATTGAATGGAAAACTCAACTCAATTGCAGCATCAAGGGAATACTTTTCATAGGCATAGGTTGTCACTGGAACATGTCTTCTCATTGCAAGATTTCCCCTCTCCTCTCCTTTTTTTTTTTTTTTTTTTCCTCTCTCTATTACCCTTTTTCCTTTCCTTCCCTACCTTTCTATGTGGCTTCCCTCCTTTTCTTATTCTACCCTTTGCTGACCAATTTGTTAGATCTATTGGATCCTCTTCCTGCCCAACCCGTTTCTGGGAAGCTGGATCTCCGTTTATAATTTGCATTGTCTTGTACAGTATGCAGTCTCTGAGTGCTATGCATGCTGTACTCCTTAGGTCTCCTATCCGTATTACATTGACTCTTACAGATTACTATGGGACTTGGTACACGGCACAACCATGCTCCGGCTCTACTCACTTTATATTGGTTTATTTATTACCCTGTTGGGTTATTATTCTGCATGTATTTTTATTGTACAGCTTCCACTCGTTTTGTATTTCTTGTTGTTCCTTTCAATACACCTTTTGTGTAAGAAAGATTTCCCTCCCCTGTTCTGGTGAAAACTGTAATTTTTGGGGGACTTCTTAATACATTCTGTCTCGTTGACAATGAGAATAATGTCCCCGGCAGGGGCATAGATGACAATAAAATGAGAGGTGGGTTCTAATGTTCTAATCCTTTCCTACTCTACCCAAAACTAAAAAGAAAAGGTTTGCCTATACATATACTTAATGATAAATGTTTGCAGTATTTCCCCTTCCCTTCCTGTGTCTGCACTTCAATTAATAAATGATGATATAAGAGGTGGTGCAGAGGTTAGGGTTTTCACAAGAACAAGGAATTAACATTTTTTAGTAAGTAAAACCAGGATTATAACCACAGCTGCAATAACTACTCTTGTCTATGCCAGATATTACACTATTGTGCTGGCCCACTGCAGCTACAGGAGCTGCGGCTCACACTTGTAACTCTTAAAAGTGAACTATAGCCAAACCTTTTTTTTGGCTATAGTTCTCTTTTGGGTCTCAGGAGTACATTTACTAATATACCCTGTGACCCAAAGTCAGCAAATAGCGGGTTAGTGCCACTATATGCTGACAGCAGAGAGTAGCACTACAGTCGGGAAAGATCCTCATTATATAGTTACATAGTATTTGAGGTTGAATAAAGACATTAGTCCATCAAGTCCAACCTATTAGGATCTCATTCTAGGAGTACCCGTACCCCTGTATATTACGGTCCCTTAAGAAATCGTCCAAAAGTTTCTTGAACAATTCCACATTATTTGCTGAAAATCCACCTTGCTGACTGATTGACAGATGGCTCTGCCTCTTTAGTGCACCCCCTTCCCTGTCAGTCCCTCCAATGAGCTCTGGAGGAATAGAGAGGGGACAGGGGAATTCCTGTGGGGAGCGGTGACTGACGGTCACCGCTCTCTGCAAGGAGAAGACAATGAGCTGAGCGATCAGAGGTTTGTGATCGCTCTGTTTTTGATCTTTACAGCCGGCATGTGACACCTGCAGTGTCGCAAACTAGCAGTGTCACAAACTAGTGGGAAGAGTACATTTACTCTCCCAATAGTTCTCCTTTCAGCCAAACCTTCTCTCCCCTTGCCCATTTACAGGATTTCTTGTGTTTTCAGAATACAAGGCATTCTGGGACTGGACAAGGGGAGAGGAGGGGCAGATAAATGACAGGAGCGTGAGCTGCCGCTCTCATATTAGCAGCGGGCCAGAACTACAGCAGGAGCTGTAAACAAAAGTAGTTAATTTAAAAGACACCACAGCAATCTGGCAATGGAATACCCATCAGGAGAGGTAACTTTTGTATGCACACTGGAAATAAAAAAATTGCCTATTGGTTCTCTATTATTACTGAGGCGGTGATCCTGAGCTTGTTCCTGTGAATGTGCTAACTCCTTGTTGTTGTTTTTTTCTTCTCATTACAGAAACCAATGAAATCTGATAATGTCACCGTCCGTTTCTCAGTAGAAGAGCTGGAGTCATTTGAAGAAAGACAAAAAGAATCTTGTAAGAATGAGCCAACAGAAATCCACCAGACCCCAACCTTAGTGGGTAAGATGATGTACTGAAAGTTAGTTTATTGAAGACAAGCTGTATATATTGGCCCAATCTGCTAAGGTTAAATGTCCAGGCATGTTTTCTGGTCCACATTCACTTGAGGCAATCTATCTCCAGAGGCGGTTTCCTCCAGCAATAATTTGCAGATTCTTGCCACAGGAATCACAGGGGACTCCGGACAGCCGTGGCCACTCAACCTGTACAAAGCAATAACTGTTTGCATCCAGGGGCGATCATCTGTCTCTAACCCGAGGTAATCACTCCATGTGCAAATACCTCTGAACATGGGTGGACATTCTATAGTCAGATGATAGCTGAGAGACATAATTTCTTATTTGTTTCTATGGGGTATTGCACATCTTTGCCATACAAAATAAGTCCAACATTTGAGCTATCCTCATACAATGCATTAGTATTTAGTCCATCAGACAGCCAAAGCTACTATTAGGTAAGGCAGATTCCAGCGGTAAGAGTCTGCAGAATGTTTGTGGCAGGAATCACAGGTTGCTCCGGCCAGCTGCGGCCATTCACATTATACAAAGCAATGACAGGCTAACAGTGGCCCCAGCCATCCACCTGTGTTCTGAGGTAGGTGCACTTGGATCCAGTGGCGTAACCAGAGTTATGGGCGCCCGGGGCAGAACAAAATGTTGCGCCCGCCCCCACCCCCGGGTCTCAGGAAGCTATGCGTGATCTGACCAGGACTCTGCGGGTTCTCACCATTGCTGTGTAGGTCTCACCAGGGCTGTGCGGGTGGGTGCAGGCAGCGGGAAGGAGGAGGAGATGTGCAGCCAGCACTGTAAACAGGCATTGTGAGGTCTTGGATCTTGCAAGTACAGAACCTAACTGCAACCGAACCTGTAAAAAATAAAAAAAAATAAAAAAAATGTAAAGGGCCAGTATCGCCCTTAGAACTCGTGAAAATGCCCAGTATCTGCACCGATACCAATGCTGATATCGGTGCATCCTTAATCCCATTCATCCCCCCTATAGGCATTAGACTCCCCCCTACATTTCCCCTATAGGCAGCAGATCCCCCACCATAGGGGTGTACGGATCCTGCAAAGCTCCCCACAGATCCTGCAGAGACCCCCACAGACCCTGCAGTCTGCCGAATCTCAGGGGGGCTGTGCAGGATCTGTGGTGGGCTTTGCAGACTGCAGAGCCCATACGGATTCTGCAAAGCCCCCCCCCACAGATCCTGCAGAGACCCCCACAGACCCTGCAGTCTGTCTGATCTCAGGGGGGCTGTGCAGAATCTATGCTGGGCCCTGTCAGCACAGTCGTCCTCCTACCTGGCACAGGTAAACAAGCCTCCTCCGTTGCTTCACCGCACGATTTGGAGCCTCCTCCATCTCCGTCTCTGCCCCCGCCTCCTCCGTTGCAGACATCGGCCATCCCGTCTCCTCCATCTTCACCCCACCTCTTCCATCTCCGCCCCCCGCCTCCCAGTGCCCGTCTCCTCCTTCTCCCCCGCCCACCGCTTCCTCCCTGTTGACATTAGGCAGCCAGGCTACCCGTTTCTGTGCAGCCCGGCTGCCTAAATGTTACCTCTCCCTGCAGAGAGAGTTGATCGCAAGCTGTCATTCCTTTGCACAGGCTGAGCGTCCACAGCTGTCCAGAGCTATCTGTGATTCCTGCTTCAAGAATCTACAGACTCTTACCACTGGAATTATTTATTTATCAATTATTTAAAATGAATGCTCTGCCCTATAGGAGCTTACAATCTAAGGTCCCTTTCTCACATGCATACATATGACGACCAATTTAGACAGGAGCCAATTAACCTACCAGCATGTCTTTGGAGTGTGGGAGGAAACCCACACAAGCACATGGAGAACATGCAAACTCCTTGCAGATAGTGACCTAGCCAGGATTTGAACCAGAGACCCCCAGTGCTGCAAGGAGATGTGAATGAGGCCTTGCCTAAAAGCTTTAGCCGTTTGATGGAGTGATTACTAATCCCTTGTATAAGGACAGCTGAAACGTAGTAATTATTTAGGACAGCAGTGCGAAGAGGACATGCAATACACATACAAACACATTTGAAATCTGACTACAGCATTTTGTAATCAGATTGGCTGCATTAGGTTACTGCGGTTTGCAGATATATATGGGTCATTGTTTGTGGAACAACCTGCCATTGGATTTGACATATAATGCCTATCTGTTTTCCCACAGGTTATATTTATGTAAAGCCAGAGATTATGTCTCGTATTCACCAAGGAGAAGAATTATGTGTAAAGAGCAATTTGTATTCTCAGAAAAGGAACTGCAGAACGGGCCCATCCACAAGTGAGTATTCTTAATGGTTGTATCTGCACAAGTATTAAATCGGGCAACTATAATGTAGGCGGGTGTCTGAAGACACAAATGGCGGATGCTATTGCTATGCAAACTGTAAGCACTTGAATAAGTTGAGCCAAATTTATTAAAAAATTATGTGACAAGGAAACTGCATTTTTGGCAAGATCAATGGGTATTTCTCTTCCGTTCATTGAAGGACACAGTGGAGATCTTGAATCTTCTACGGATGGGTTTATATCGCCACCTTCAGGAGTAGGACACTAGGCACGGGGGCACATATGACCAAGGGACCTTGTTCCTTTGTCACAGTGTCCCCTAGGCTGACAGCGTCCCTGCTCCAGCAGAGATACAATCTGTCATGGGAAGAGGTACTCTTCACGCATCCTGTGAGGATTGGTAAGTGTGTCAGCCCTCCTCTCCCCCTTCTTTGAGCATGGTGGCTGTAAATGGTGACCCTCCCCCCAGTGTTGCAGGTCCGCTGCCCCTTCTGTTGTGGGGTCACTTCATTGCACTGCATTGTGGCGGGTAGTTACCACTTCTCCACTGCTGCTACACCACTTGTTTAGCCAGCTGTCTCCGGGGATCACTATGTGTTGGAGGGGGTGGGCATGGGCAGCCATGTCTTAAGTGGCACAGTCTGTCTGTGCTCTGGTGTTTCAGGACACTGTTATGAGAGCACAGCGCCATGCTGGGGTGACAGTAGCTGGACCTCATTGCTGTGAGTACCCACCTTCTGCTAGGTTGCTGGTGGCATAGAGGTGTATAAAATAATGGAGTTGATACTCCAACATTGTTTAATCCCTTCACCAGGGTGGTCGGTGTGGTTGTCTATGAGGGGCATTTTACATCTTAGGGTGGAATGTGTGCCCTGGTGTCCTTCCCATGAGTGCTAGTCCAAGTGGTCTGGCTGTGCAGTACTGGGGCCGCAAATGGCAGCCTGCTGTGCTTTTCTCTGAGTGTTTGTGGCAACTGATATGGGCAAATTGTTTACATTTCCTGTGCTCCCTCACGCTGGTGAGTGCACCTCGCTATCGGGCCGAACATAACTTTGAGGCCACAGGTTGCAGCATGAAAACCATGTTTGCTGTGGGCTCTTCCCTTCTGGTGATTTCACTTCCGCCCGCATTGCAATGACGGCAACTGCTTCTTCTGTGTGCAAACTTATGGCGCTTGCCGGGGGGGGCAAAAGTTTCTGTGATTAGGTGTGTACCTTCTGGTTTGTTCGGACCAGGGTGTCCGACGTGTATATGAAGAAACAAAGGAAAGGGGAAGTGCCACAACCAATGTGAACTGGTGGGTATGATCGCCAGTGGGCCGGAGGGTGAATGGGCTTGGGCTGATGACTTTCGCCGTTATTGTCAGTAGTACTTGATTGTGCCTTCCGGATGGTATAGATGTAGTCCAAAACAAGGGGGAGGAGAAATGGAGAAATTAATCTCGAGAGGGATTGTGTGAGAAACAAAGTGACAATGTAGAGACTCACCCAGAAGTTATGAATGAAGTGTTGTCATCGACGGTGGATGTGCCTGGAAGATGTATAGTAAAGTTTGGAAAGTTTTTTTCCTCCTGGTGTAAAGACAGGAATTTTTTAGTTCACTCTGTTCCAGTTTTTCTGCATTTTCTGCAAGACTGAGCAGATAAAGGTTTAACAGGAAGTACACTAAAGGTTCAAATTTCAGCTTGGTCAGTATTTCTGGACATTAGTTTAGCTGAGGAAGCACTAATTAGGTGATTTTTGGTGGCCATCAATACATAGTTACATAGTATTTGAGGTTGAATAAAGACATTAGTCCATCAAGTCGAATAGATCAGTGTCAATACAGAAACAGATTTTTTTTTTTCCTCCGTTGGACTTGTCATTGATTCTTAGAGGTCTTACTAAAGAACCTTTTGAACCAATAGAGGAGACCTCAGTAAAATGGTTGACTTTCAAGATGGTTTTCCTTTTAGCAATAACTTCAGCTTGAAGAGTAGGAGACCTACAGGCCTTATCGATCAAAGATTCCTATCTTTGGGTAATATTAAGACCAGATCCTATGTATCTACCTTATGTGACTTCAAAGTTTCATAGATCACAAGAAATTACTTTACCTTGTTTTTGCGAGAACCCTAAAAATCAGGGGAGGTTTACTTTACCTTGTTTTTGCGAGAACCCTAAAAATCAGGGGAGGTGCTCTTTCATACTTTAGATGTCAGAAGATGTCTTATTAGGTACCTGAAAGTTTCCAAGAATTTTAGAAAGACCCAGTAAATGTTTTGTCTTATTTGGAGGGACAAAAAATGGGCTATATGGCTTCCCGTTCCACTATTGCTAGGTGGATTAGGCAAACTATTGTATTTGTATATAAGAATGAGGATTAGAAGTCACTAAATCCATTAAGTCACATTCTACCCAATCTTTGGCTACTTCATGTGCAGAGAGAGTGTGGCCTTTAGTGGAGCAGATCTGTAGAGCTGCAGTTTGGTCAACTCCGGACACCTTTGTGAAACCCTACAGGGTGGAGGTCCTGTCGCAGCAAGGAAGGTTCTGCAGACTGTTGTTCGGCCCTATGTTAGGCCTGTTGGTTTACTTGGTTATTCTCTTAGGTTGCTGTGCTGGAAGATGATTGGGGAAAATCCTAGTTAGACTTATCGGTAATGGTGTTTCTAAGAATCTTCCAGAACCACAGGCCTACTTCCCACCCTTGTTTGTGGTGTATATTAGCATGGTTGTTTTTTTTTCTCTTGTGCATTGGTGGAGGTACTCTACTTTAATCTCTACTGAGGAACGAGGGGGGTGGGAGGGGTTTTTAAACCTCTTGTTAGAACCAATCATCTCTCAGGTTGCTGTCCTGTAAGATTCTTACAAAACACCGTTATAGTGCTTGAATAGCTTCAGCTACAGAATGACAGCTGCCAGTGGCAAGATTCCGCAGACGGCAGCTGAATGTTAATACAGTAGGTAGTGGTCTAGTGCAAAAGCCAGCCTGCTATTGGCCATTTCAGATTGCAATAGCAAATAGCAGGCTGGCTATTGCACACACCCACTGCTTGCTGTGCCGTCCTCTCAGCGTGGAGGAGAGAGTTGGGGAATCCAACCAACTAATCGATAATGAGAATAGTAGACAACTATTCTCATTGATTAGTTGGTTGCAGCCCTAGTTACGTTGCTGTGCGGCAAAGCGTCTACCGCGTTTGCTCTGGGCAGCAAGGTGCCTTGTTGGTTGCCACTTCTGCCTTGCAGCTTTGGGTACCCTAGAACACTCTGCACGGTGTTTGCGTGTTCCGCCTGTGCTTGTGTGGGTTTTCTCCGGGTGCTCCATTTTCCTTCTACACCAAGAACTTGGAGTGTCGAATAGCTCCTGTCTATATAAGACCTTCTATGGAGCTCCCACAGGAGTGGCAGCCTGGGAATCTGACAGGTAGCCCTCATCTTCTTTAAGAGCCCAGAAGTGTTCCTTTTATTTTTCCTCAGGCCTTGGCCTCCTAGATTGTGCCCAGCCTGTCTCTGGTACTTCTGGGTTTCCTTGCCCTTGGTGTAGTCAGCTTCTGCAGGAGGGGCACCCTTCTCTTCAGGGAAGTGAATGCCTGCTCCATTTGTGAATATGGGTAGCCAACACCTTTTGGTAACCAGTTTGGCTACCAAAGGTAGTTTCCTGAGACTACTGACTACTTTTCCACGTTCAGACTTTTATTATTATTATTATTATACCGTATTTATAAAGCGCCAACAGTTTACGCATCGCTTTACAACATGAAGCAACATTTTCAGTTCAGGCCTTTCATTTGTTACCTTCTCTGCACGGATCGCAGGTTTACTTGCATCTTTTGTGCAGCGTCTCGGGTCCAGGCTTGTGCTTCCATTTTCTCTGGCCAACCGACTTCCATAAGTTATTCTAGTGTGGTCGTGTTTTTTGCCTTGACGCCAGGGCATTCGCCTCTTTCAGTCCTCTGCGCCTTGTGGTTTATTGTTTTGGTAGTGCCTCATGGACTCTGCCAGGCTATATTTGCCTTTCTCACCCAGGACTGCTTTGGGATTGGGGACAACGTTGTCTCCTTGTTGAAATGTGCCTTTTCCTCCCCTGAGGGATGAGCGCGTGTTGTAGGTAGCCCTATCTTGGGTTACTTTTACCTGCTCTCTAGGTGTTTCTCAAGGTGATCACCCCTGTGTTAATCCCTCTGGACTTTTGGGTCTTTCAGTTTGGGGGAGTTGTTGTCATCTGATGTTGCAGAGACGATGCAGGTCCTATTCGGCATGGTGGCTCTTCCTCCAGATTTTGCAGGGACTCAGTGGGGTCTTGAACCTTTGGAGGCTTGCGTTAGAACGGACTTATCACTGGCATGTCAGGGTCTGGCGTTTAATTTGGCCTGAGCCTGATGTCTTCTAACCTGATTTTTTGTTCAGGATTCTGCATGTGATTTTTGGGATTATGGGTGACCTCTTTGAGGCAGTTTCCTTTTCTTTTTCCAGTACCCCTCTGAGTAGCAGGACGGTGTGGACATCTGACTAGTTGATGTCTATGCTGGTAGGCATCTGGCACCGGGTCAGTCTCAGCTTCAGACATGTTCCTAGACTCATGTCTGAGGTGGGGGATGATGGCTCTGGCCCTCTGGCTCTCGGGTTATGAAAAAAATGGACCTATTCTTCTTTTTCTGGGGGCTTGGGTCCTGTGGATCACCAGCATCTCAGAATTTTTGTTTTCGCATGGGTATGGCGCAGGAAACTTCTTCTACTGGGTCCAGGGCCGGCCTTAGGGGTGTGCGAGCAGTGCGGCCGCACAGGGCGCCATGGCAACAAGGGCGCCGTGCGGCCGACACAGCTCGTCCTGGGGGCGGCGTCTCTCCCCCCCCCCGCTGGGCACTGGCCA